TTAATAGGTTTACCTAACGGTTTGTTAATGGTCTGATCGATTTTCTTAGTATTCCTTGATTTTTACTGAACGTCGGCTTGAGCTTTCTACAAATAGTGCAGGCTACGGTCATTTTTCGTACATCGTCTATGGAATAAGGTAAGTTTCGAGATCGAATCCACTGAAACATTCTACTTATTCCAGGATGACAAAGTGCATCATGTTACTCGTACAATTTATTCTCAGTTGAAGTCCCACATATCCGAGAAAAAGTATCGGTTACGATATTTTCATTTCCTGGACGGTAGACTATGTCATATGAATAGCATGAAAGTTCGAGTCTTCATCGTTGAATTTTTTCATTTCTTATTTTACTACTATATGCTTCGTCTCGAACATGAATGAGACCGATCTTTGATCTGTAATCAACTTGAAATGTCTTCCAATAAGAAACAAGGCGCCATTTTTTCAGAGCTACTACAATTATTGCTAGTGCTTCTTTTCCAACTGCTGAGTGGTTTTGTTCATTATATGATGTTCTTTTTGAGAAAAACGCAACTGGTTGTCCAGACTGGCTTAGAATTGCTGCTATTGAATGTTCGGAGGCGTCTGTTTCCACCACAAATAAAATGTTTTCTTCAATGGCAGTGACAGCTAATTTTGCTACTTCAGTTTCCAAGTTTTATCTGTGATAGCAGGCTCTTGCATAGGAAAGTTTCTGGTACCAACAAGTATAACAATTTTCTTGAAGAATCTAGGTATCTATTTAGAGTAATGAGCGAACTTCCCCACAGCTCTTTGAAGTGAAGCTTCATTAGTTGGTACTGGCAGATTCTGTAGAGATTCAAGTCTTGCAGGTTCAGGTTTAAGTATTTAGTTTCCTATAAGATACCCCAGTAATTTCATTGTCTTTCTGTTCAACGAACTTTTACTTCTATTTATAGTTAGGTTGTACTTTTTAACAGCTGTCAGAAAAGCTAATAGATTCTTATCGTGTTCTTGATTTTTTCCACAAATTGTTACATCATCGAGATATATATGCGTAGACGCCTTCTAGATTCTCTTGCCTGATTATTGTATCTAAGACTCTTTGAAAACAAGCTACGCCGTTAGTCACACCAAAAGGGATACGATTGAACTGGTTCAGGTTTCAATCAGCTTCAAAAGCAGTGAACTGTTTTTCATCATTTCTTATAAGGAACTGGCGATACGCACTTTCTAAGTCAATAATGCTAAAAACGTCAAACTTTGAGACTGCTCTTACCAACCCTTCGATATTAGGTAAAGGATAAGCCTGAACCTGTTGATTGTTTGAGAATAGTTAACAACCATACTCTTTTTATGATTTACAATCTTTGTCACAAGAACTTGTGTTCGCAAAGAAAAAAATCCTCAACTCCTGCGCGGGTGCTAAGATCCTGTTTATGATTATCATAACCATTTAAGGTATTATATAGTTATAATAGTTCAGTAGGATATAAAACATTTTGGGTACTGAATAAGCCACTCACTCAGAGCTGATGGAAACTAATACCTTGATTGCCTACTACCTAGGTACTACTTTTTCCCCCGCTCGGCTGATTACTTCTCTCAGAAGTTATCAGTATTTGATAAAGGATTGCAATTTTCGACGCAACTGTAATAATTATTATCAAAACAACACTTCTTCTAATCGTGATTACTCAAAGAGCTTGCAAAGGGTAATCATATAATTACAGAGAAATCACAATTCCTTTTCATTACCATACATGTTTCAAGGCAGTTTTCTCTTATATTCGAATGTCAGGTTCCATTATGTCTGATGTCGCTGTGTCCGTTTTCCATGGATATTTTAAGTTTACCCTATGTGACTTTGGTATTCAGATTAACTTTATTGTTCGATGAAAGTCTGAATAGAACGAAATTTTGATATTGAGGATATTGTAGGCATAGGCAGTATCATCAAATTTAAAATGTTGACTAGTAAACTGTGATTTTCTATTATGATAATCACGGTTATACAAAACTCAAAAGTAATCCGGGATTGACTGAAATACTATAGAATACATACAATTCTTATAATCTGGAAATTTGAAATTTGTAATTAAATCCCTCTATACTCTTTGCTCCAACCAAGTAGATAATACATCGTAATCAGTAACCTATTTTTCTTTTCATATGTAGGTTCGTAATCAGTTTCGCCTACAAAATCTTAAAATGTGTGCTTTTAAACTTTCTTGCCAATGATGGGAATCAATCGAAAATATAATTCTCAACTTTAGTACTGCATATTGGGGTGAATTTTTTCAAAGTTTCAGAGTCAGAGACGTACCCAATCCAACCAACGTAAATGTGAAATCAGCAACAGCAGTTGCTGAGGTGAGGTCTATAAACCTAGCAGTCCCAAGCTGGAAAAAAACTTCGGGAACTATATAATAATTAGGTGCTTTTTAGGTGCTAATTAGGGCCTCTAATTAAAAATTAGGTGCTCCTTTAGTTTTTGAGAAAATCAAAAAAAACTAAGGGACTGCTAGGTTTATAAAAGCTAGCAGTCCCCTATAGTAAAAAATATTTTTTTCAAATCACTTCTTTGTATCAGAATTAGGGGACTACTAGCTTTCATAAACTTAGCAATCCCTTAGTTTTTTTTTTGATTTTCTCAAAAATTAGAGGAGCACCTAATTTTTAATTAGAGGCCCTAATTAGCACCTAAAAAGTACCTAACTATTATATAGATCCCGAAGTTTTTTTGCCATTCTAACAGACCAACAAGTAGACGTAAAGCCAGTAGTCCCCTAATAATTACAAAAAAATCTGTAACTCAGTTAATAATTAATCAATTCTATTTTTTCTTGGACTATTTAGGAGCACCTAAAAAGCACCTAATTCTGATACAAAGAAGAAATTTGAAAAAAATATTTTTCACTATAGGGGACTACTACTAGCTTTCATAAACCTAGCAATCCCTTAGTTTTTTTTGATTTTCTCAAAAACTAGAGGAGCACCTAATTTTTAATTAGAGGCCCTAATTAGCACCTAAAAAGCACCAATTATTACATAGATCACGAAGTTTTTTGGCCATTCTGACACACCAACAAGTAATCGTAAAGCTAGCAGTAGCCTAATAATTAGAAAAAAATCTGTAACTCAGTTAATAATCAATCAATTATATTTTTTCTTCGACTATTTAGGAGCACCTAAAAAGCACCTAATTATTATATAGTTCCCGAAGTTTTTTTCCACCTTGGGACTGCTAGGTTTATAGACCTGCTTAGGTGGGTGCTTGCTGGCAAAGAGAAATATTTTGGTTTTCTAGGATCCATGAAAATTCATCAAAATTTGCTCGAGTATCCACTATGTCTTTATTGAAATCAGTTAAGCATTTTTATAGATTAACCCTTAAGAAGGTACCACACCATGCTCAGTAGTGCTCAGACACTTTCAAACTAAATTCTGGTTCGATTGTCCTTTCACTTATTAAGGGTCTTTTGATCCCTTTTGAAAACGATCTCTAACTTACCAAACTCGTTGAACCGTTGTCGGGGCTGGTTGCTGGTTTCTCTCTGTTCTGTGTTCTGTTTGGGACCGGCTGCGATAACAGGATATTGCAATCTACAGGGGGCGACGACTAGAATAAAGTATTGTGCTTTATATAGGGTGGAGAGGGAAAATATGCTTGTAATCAAGCCTTTATTTAATGAAAATTTGGTCTTAGTACTTATAACATAACTCTAACTAGAAGATGAAAATATGATCTTACCGATGAGACCTTATTTCACTAGCTGTGTTTTTATTATATCTTTGTCTACTATTTGTTTTGAAAACATTACATACCCCAATAACAATAACAAAGGTATTTCCCTCTTCAGTCTTCAGTTCAGACTCTTCAGAATTTTTTCCATCAGCGACCATTTCTACAACTAGCGACATCTACAATTTGCATGTCAAACTATTAATTATGTATTACAGCAATCTGTAATTTAATTGTTTTTCAATATTAAATTAATTCAATATGTTTATATCGATACCAAATGTACAGCAACAAGGTTGTATTTTTGCATCCAATGGTATTCTTAATAATTGAAATCCAGTTTGATTTTAAAAAATAAATTCTGAAAAAAATTAACTGTGAATTGAGGTGACGCCATCTTTTACCAAAACAACTAACTAATTTTGGCATTTGATTTTGACAATCGGTAAAATCGCATCGTTTTTTTGTGTATTGGGTTTTTAAGTAATGTAATGTGAATTCGCCGATTTTACAAATAAAAATCACATTTCCTGTTAAATTATTGTTATTTTAAGTGCCGAGGTAAGTAAATTGATTAGTTAACTCAGCTCCCAACACTATTTTATCGGTAAAAAGCTGTAATTTGATTTAGTTTTACGCGTGCAAAAGTGCAACAACATCCGACCATGCCATAGGGGCGACTGTGTAGGTCATGGTGTTTTATGTCCAAAATATTTTTGGCTACTTGCCTAATTTCGCAGGTAACTCAAAGCCAACATAAAAAACAATAATTCCTTATATAGAAATAGGCCTTTGAATATCTGGAAATGGCCCTCTGTTCTATTGACATGTTGCCTTGCATTTCGATCAGATTTCCAACTTTAATCCTATTAGCTTTAAATTAAGCCAGTATTTTGAGTTTTACTGCGTTCTAGACGAGCTTTATGTACGTTTCAATTTAATTCTATTTTATAGTCATCGTGAGTGAATCACTAGTGAGTTGACATAACCTCAGTTTTTGCAGCAACTTGCCCCATTTCGAGAGGCTCTATTTGTAAAACCATGCCCAAACAATCCACAAATAAAATCAAAATGCCTGTTAAATTATGGCTTACAGATGTGAGTTGTAATGTACTCTTAGTAATCCAGACCTTAGTGTGCAGTTACTTTCATTGCCATATTATCATAATCATAAAGCTAAAAATCCTGAGGATTTGAGCCAAAAACTGCTAATCAGACCTTAGTGCAGTTTCCTTCATTATCATATCATAATCATAATGCTAAAAATTCTGAGGATTTGTGCCAAAAACTGCTAACTCACTCCGTTTAAATTTAGAATTTGGCCCAGTATAGATCAAAACAGTGTCTGTTCTCTTTGTGTTTATTGTTTGATGTAAGGACAATTTCCAGAGAGGTATAATGACATAGGAATGAACTTATCTTTATTGGTAACTGATAAAATAGTAGAATTTTGCTTTTTGTGGTTTGTTTTTCTATTAAACCTAATCCAGTTTTTCACCTATATATTCCACAAAGTCACTGAGAAAATTGCATATTCTGATTAGTTGGAAACTGCAATAACTTCAGAGAAAATCACCCTATGTTGGATTATCAAATACCTAATTCAATTGCTGATTTTCAAACTACTCTCATAGATAAACATTATAAATAAAATTGCATTATTAATAAATAACTGCTTACAAAAAGATATCATTAAAGTGTGTTTTTGTTTTGTAGTAGATAAGTATTTGAAATATGTATTATGTAATTTCAATTTGGAAATGGAATAATATGTACTTAATTACTTGTATCAATTAAATCATAATAACAATTTTGTAAGCGTTTAACGTCATTGAAATACTCTGTTCCTATGTAGTAACACTCAACAACAGAGTGTCCCAATTTGTTATTTTAACTATTGCTTAATTTAAATCATTATAGGAATAAGGATTATAAAGTTTGATCAATCTGTGTAGTTTTTTTTCCAATGTATGTTGATTATTTCATAAATTGATATTGAAACCCTTAATAATAGTTTAATCCATCAAATATCATTTTTATAGTGTTGCTGGAGCAGAGCCATGCACAATATAAATCCTGAAGGTCAGTATATGAACGCCAATGGAGGGCATAACGAAAAAGTCTGTATTTTGGATGCGGGTGCCCAATATGGAAAGGTAAGTCTTCATATTTTATTTTTATTATAATAGTCCAAGATACCTAACTTTATTTTCGGAAGGTGTGAAAAAAAAAAAAAAATAGAGAAGGTGATTTTTTCAGGATCAAATTGTTTGTAAAAAAATACTCTTTCTAGCTCTACTAATGAGCCACCTTCACTATAAAAAGTAATGAGGAATCCGAGGAGGAATCACATCTTTTTTTCCTCGACTACTTGATCCAAAATCGTCCGTTTTATCGAGCTCGACAGAAAATAATTTCATACAATCCGTATTTGTCTGAAATATCTACATACCAAATTTCATTTGTTTATCTTGAAAAATAAAAAAGTTATAGGGGTGAGCCTCTCTCTAGGGTCACCCGGTATATGAAAAACTGTAAGCAGAAAATTTTTGAAAATTTGACAGTGTACTATATCATTGGGGGCAACCTGGTTAAAATATTTTCAAGATAGTGGCACATCCAGTTCAAGTTCCGGTTATACCGGAAGTAGACCTCAACTTGCTTATTTTAAATTAGACACCCTGTATGTGATTGCCGAGGTGATTGCATATTTGGATTCTACGTAAAATTCTGAGCAGATTTCATATGATGTACCCTACGCCTGAGCTCAACTGTTTTGGAAATATTGACATTTGAAAATTGACTTTTTGCAACTTTGACAGGCTGTAAAACCTACTTAAATGGTTAATTTTAGAGGAAAACCGATTTTACATTCCTATCTTAGATTTGGCTTTGACACCAACTTAGAATTTACCCAGAGATTAAATTTAAAAGGAATTTTTAATCATGGATTAAATTCAAATGATAGTTCATAAAATATACAGGGTGAGTTACTAAGCGCGCGGTGGTCCATATCTCCTATACTAACGAAGATGAAAAAAAAAAACTAAATACAAAACTTGTAGATAAACATGAGTACTACAATCCCAAATTATTTTCTAGTATACAGGGTGGTCCAATAAGTAGTGGTGATACAAAGTTATATTTTTTTAAATGACTCCCTCTGTATATTATGACATTTCTTGATTCTGTGGAAAATTTTAGACATATTTCATGTATAATGTCATATACCTATCTTCAACTGTTTCGGAAATATTTACAGTTTAAAACTGACTTTTTTACATCTTTGACAGACTGTTAAACCTAAATGGTTAATTTTAGAGGAAAAACGATTTCACATTCCTGTCCTAGATTCTCATAAGCTATCATCTGACACCAACTTTGAATTTAATCATGGATTAAATTCAAGGTTGGTGGTAAATAATAGTTTATGGAAAACTAAGATAGGAATGTATGATCCGTTTTCTTGTAAAATTAACCGTTCAGGTTTTACATTCTGTCAAAGATGCAAAAAACTATATTTTCAACTGTCAATATTTCCGAAACAGTTGAAGATAGGTATATGACATTGTACATGAAATATGTCTAGAATTTTCCACAGAATCCATAAATGTCATAATATACAGGGTGAGTCATTTGAAAAAACATAACTTTGTGTCACCACTACTTATTGGGCCACCCTATATACTGGAAAATAATTTAGGAATATAGCACTCATGTTTATTACAAATTTTGTATTTAGTTTTTTCTTCGATCTTCGTTAGTATAGGAGATATGGACCACTGCGCGCTTAGTAACTCATCCTGTATATCACATATGTGAGTAACGTGAAATATGTGGACCTGTCAACACCAGTAGCACCAGTATTTCGTATACTCTCAACACCAAAGGCGATTTCGCCCCAGATTTTCATCTGCTATTTGGTAAGCGAATGGTTAACCAGTGACGTAGCTCAACAATCTCATCCGAATTCAGTGGATAGGGCGTTTGGTACATTTTGACTTTGACATGTTTATTTGGACATGAGAAAAAAACGGAAAAAAAGAAACAAAAAGCTACCAAACCTACACTACCCAGTCAAACCGCGGTATAGCATCTGACAGACCAAAGGGCCTACCAAAGTTGTTGTGACAGCATCGTTCACCCATCCGAAATTGAATGGTACCTGTTTGACAAACCAAATTGGGGTACCAAACTGAGGCGAAATCGCCTCAAAAGTTGCAAAAAAGTTCATCTTTCAACGCTCATATCTGAAAGATCATAATACCTACAAGATTTCGTCTCATTTAAAGGTTGTTGAGAATTAAATCCTCTACAACATATCAAAAAAATCCCAAGTTAGGTGTGCGTTATCCTTTTCAAAAATTTTCTGCATAATTACACTTTTTCATATATACATCTATTTGGTTCCCAGTGGGACACCCTGTATAGGGGTTGTTTCTCAACATAGTGCTACAATGGAATTTTTGTAGATAATCGGATTCTCTACAACTTTTTCCTGTGATGTTTTTTTTCAAAATTCATCATTGCCCAAGCAAGCGCCCATTTTGTAAGCAATTTTGTACCTCCAATTTAACTTCTATACAGGGTGGGCCAATGGAAACTTTCCACCCCGATTTTTTGGGGGTCATAAAGAACTCGATGAGACCTTTAAAACGAGGGGGTTACAACTGGATCAAAATTTGTACATGTATTGTGCATTACACGCATTTTTGAATTAATTCCGGTAATTCCAATGTATGATGTTAAACATTGTTGTCTTTCCATATTGGTAGAGTTTCCCAATGGTTGGTTAGAATTTTACGAGGGGCGGCTTACTCCCGAAATCGCTGTACATTTGCATCTGAAATCGCGAAGAGCGAAATCCTATCCGAAATCCCGGAATCCCAACCGAAATCCCAGAATCCCAACCGAAATCCCGGAATCCCAACCGAAATCCCGGAATCCCAACCGAAATCCTTCTGAAATCCCGATATTCTCGAAATCCTTAGTGGTATGATGTTGAAAGTCGAAGATCCGAAATCCATCGAAATCCCTTGAAAATTGTCGAAATATACGATTTTCCCAAATCGATGTACAAATTGTGGTGAGTGAGCTAGCCCTCGTTAAAAATCTAAGTCAAAAAAGACTTTGAAGCTTTGCCTGCCTCGGCAGCTGCAAAACCCTCGAAGTTGCATTGAAATCATTTAGAGGAAATTTGTAGATAATTTAATTGGCTTCAATTGGAGCCTAATTACATCAAGTTATGCACTGATAATTTTTAATAAATATTTGCACGATCTATAAACTCTTGTTGCTTAAATACATATTTGACGGTAACTTTTTTTTGCTTCTCCCTGTATATGTGAAATCATTTACATTTTATAGATACACCTTGAGATTCACAAACTTACCCAAAGATATTTTTAATATTGGGGCTGGTATTGTTAATGTTAATATGATCTCTCAGTGAATATTTGGAAAATTCGAGGGTTAAAATCAACCGTAACTCCATTGAATGCAAGTGTATTTCCATGATATTCATACGTAATGCCTGGTAATGCCAGCATATTCCCTGGTTATACCCAGTAATGTCTCATGGTGCCAAAGTAATGCCACCTTAATACCGGTAATTCCGCAGTAATGCGTTGTTATGCATACGTAATGCTTTGTAATGCTATAAAATTTGTACATATATTGCCACCAGTTGCTACCCCCTCCCTTTAAAAAGAGGTATGACACGACCCCTATCCTATTCCAAAAAATTGAAGTGGAAAGTATCCATTGCCTCACCCTGTATAGTAGTTTAATCAGAGGTACAAAAGTGCTTACAAAATGGGGGCCAGCTTAGTAAATAATTAATTTAAAAAAAATTGTATAGGAAAAAGTTGTAGAGAAACCGATTATCTATCCTACAATTACCTAGAGATAAAAAAATTCCATTGTAGCACAATGTTGAGAAGCAACCCCTATAGCTAAGGGCCTGGAATACGAAGTTTCTTATTCCGATGTTTTTACACTCAAAACACCCTTGAACAATCCTATAAAAAATCAGCTTGCCTCTATCAAACGACAATTATCTTGTACTATAATGGAGGAATAAGAAGGCAGCAAGTCAAACTATTACTTAGCTGTTGATACAACCCTCCTAAATAAAATATTTATGGAACAACTGGAGCTTGTTGAGTGTTTAAAGTTCTAGCTACACCTTAAATAACAATACTTACCAACTTACCCACAAAACCATTATCTGACTAAAAATCCTCTTTAGGTTATAGACAGAAAAGTAAGAGAACTAAATGTGGAATCTGACATTTTAACTCTGGATACGCCAGCTTTTAACATCAAAGAAGCTGGCTACAGAGCCATCATTATATCAGGAGGTCCCAGTTCTGTGTACGCCGAAGATGCGCCCAGATACGACGCGGACATATTTAGAATAGGTATTCCAGTTTTAGGCATTTGTTATGGTATGCAAATGATGAACAAAGAATTTGGCGGTACTGTTTTGAGGAAAGAGAGTAGAGAAGATGGACAGTTTTCAATAGAAATTAATACAAAATGTTTATTGTTTAAGTGAGTTTTAGCTATTATCTGCTTATTAGAAAACTATAAATTTAAATAATTGTAGATCTTTAGATAAAAATCAAGATGTCTTACTGACTCACGGAGATTCTATAGAAAAAGTAGCTGATAGTTTTAAGCCAATAGCACAATCACAGGCTTTTATAGCAGGCATTAGTAACGAAAAATTAAATTTATACGGTGTACAGTTTCATCCAGAAGTGGATCTTACTGTTAATGGCAAAACAATGTTGAGGAATTTTTTGTTTGATATTTGCGGCCTTACTGGCAACTTTACCATTCAGGGCAGAGAAGAGCAATGCATCAAGTATATTAAAGACACAGTTGGGAATAATAAGGTAATAATTTGTTTGTGTTAGAAATATATATTTTGATGTGATGTTTATTTGCTTCAGGTTCTTTTGTTGGTAAGTGGTGGCGTGGATAGTACTGTTTGCGCGGCATTATTTCACAAAGCCCTCAGACAGGACCAAGTGATTGCCATACACATTGATAATGGTTTTATGAGGAAAAATGAAAGTGTGAAGGTGCATGATTCACTACAGAAGTTGGGGCTCAATTTGAGAGTAATAAAAGCGGCGGCTACGTTTTTGGAGGGTAACACTGTGGTTCCTATAGATAAAGAAGGTAAGAGTTTGTCCTACATTAGAATTATTTCACTTTTGCATTGCATTGACTTATTTTGAGGTGGCTTAGTTTGCATTTGCTGCTAAAGTTTTTTTTTATATAGGTAACACTAGAACGCGTGTAACCAAAATATTATGTAACACAAACAATCCAGAAGAAAAACGAAAAATCATAGGTGACATTTTTGTTAAAATATCAGACGAAATTATAGCGGACCTCAAATTGAAACCAGAAGAAGTTTTATTAGGTCAAGGAACGTTAAGGCCGGATTTAATAGAATCAGCATCCGCTTTAGCTTCCGGACAAGCAGATACAATTAAGACACATCATAACGATTCTGGCTTGATTAGGAAATTGAGAGATGAAGGCAGAGTGGTCGAACCTTTAAAGGATTTCCATAAAGATGAAGTAATTTATTAAATATTTTTCTTCAAATAACATGTTTAGTAATTTTCAAAATTTTTTAGGTTCGAGCAATAGGTAGGGACTTAGGGTTGCCTCAAGAATTAGTAATGAGACATCCATTTCCTGGTCCTGGGCTGGCGATTCGCGTTTTGTGCGCGGAAGAGCCCTACATGGAAAGGGACTATTCGGAAACGCAAGTTTTGGTCAAAATCTTAGTTGAATTTGAACAAATGTTGCAGAAAAAACATGCGCTGCTCAATAGAGTTGAAGCTGTCACCACTGAGGAAGAAAGGTAAGTGCGTTTCTTACTCTCGGTTTTTCCTAGTAAGACAGAGACATCCTTAAAATCTAAAGTTGATATTTGGCTGTTTTGAGACTGAGTGGCCTGGAAGCCCAATCTTCTTCCTGTTTACCAATGGCCCCTTGTCTTGTCATCAAACATCAGTCAGCTAGAACTTGTTGTCCTCCAGTCCATCGAGGTAGGGTAACCCCACTTGCCAATAGTTTAGGTTTCGATTGGGAATGAGTAGGTAATTTTTTGCTGTGGCGTGTACAACGGGGAATTTGGAAATGCCAGAGAAATAGGAATAATGGAAATGTTTCGCCGCCTTACATTCACACCCTGTATAACGAGAAGGAGTTTTTAAAAAAATATCCGACGACACTGACACATATACCAAGGATGGCGCTTTGTAACAATGGCTGAAAATCCAAGATCGGCAAAGAAATGTCGAAGTTATAGGAAGTCCAAATTAGGCAATTTTTTGGGTATCCCACTTCATCTGCCGCTTAGTTTACATTATCGTGTGCATCTTCCAAAAGGTATTGATTGTCTAAATTATGATCGGATCCCCCAGATTCCTGGGTTGCATTATGGATTTCTTCCATAATTACATCTTTCATTTCCTGGGTCAAAGTTGTTTTACAACCTCTAATATCGGTAATGGCTGGAACTAGTAGGTGGTACCAACTGGCAAGCCTTCCCTTGTACTCCTTTCAGTAGGTGTTCTAGCAGGAGCAGGAATCAGACATTTCTCTGTCGTACCCTAGGGAACAGGGATTTTTTTTCAGGCCACATGCAGCCAAAGTATAATGATGGTTTTCTTGGAGTCATAGGGGTTGATATGTATAAATGTCTCTGATTAACTTCAATTGGTCTACTGGCTTCTGAAGCTCTTTTTGTAGAATTCAGAATCGAAAAGTCTCTATGATCCAACTTCCCTCTCTGTTCTATATTTTCATCTCCTTTCTGGTGTTTATTCTTTGCTTCAAAATAGATGTTCTCTGTTATCATTGTAGTTTTGATTGCTTTTTGTCTCAGGTACTCCTTGCATTGTCTGTCAGTGGTTGTGTGTTCCATGTTGCAGTATAAGCAATTAAGTGTGCTTTGTTCACAGTACCTTTCTTCATTACATTTCATCACAGAAATCTAGGTTTACTGACCTTGGAATCACTTTCCTTTAGAATGTAAACACCACTGATTCAGTGTTTAGATACTATCACCATTTTCAGTTATTCTCTTCTTCAGCCTCCTGGCCTCAACATTGGATTTTGTATACTTTTGTATTTCCTCTTCTGATAAACCTATGTAAATACCTCTGGCTATTCCTCTGCAAGTGACTAGACTAGCTAGAATATATGCATTAAGATTTTCCTCTAATAACATTTTACTAGTTTAAAATTCGTGTGCACTAAGATAGTCAGTAAATTCTGTTCCTACTCGGTTTTTACCTATTCTGGAGGTTTTCTCCACCCCTCCTACTTTTCTATTTCTTAAAAGTCTACCAATACTCATGGGATGCATATTACCAAGGATATAACCAATATTATCCTCATTTCTGCTTTCAACAATGACCATGTATGGTTTAGAATCTCTGAATGTGTATGAAAAATTACTTGTCTTTTTTTGTCAATATTTCCAGTAGGTGGGGGCCGAAGGCCCCCTGGTTCTACAAGCCACTATACAGGGTGGGGCTCGAAAAACTTTCCACCCAGGTTTTTTCAGGTGTTAGGTGATTAATTGAAAATCGCTCGAACATGTCAATTTTTGTTTTTTGGGGGACACATTTTATTGGTATTTTCACCCCCTCCCTGTCGACCCCTAAGTGGGGGTGACAGGTACCCCCAAAATTTCAAATGGAAAGGGGGGTCGAGTGATACGTCAGTTGATGGCTAATTTCATTAAGATTATCTCCCCAAAGTTTTAAGTTGCTACTATTTACCCTGCCAAAATGGTGGCATATCAAAGTTAGGATAAATTCTTTTTTTCGATTATACAACTCACTGTATGTACATTATTTCCATATGACACGAGAGGCTTAATAAGTGATAAGCCTTTTGGGATTATCGCGCTTGGTGGCAATATTGTTCATTTGCTATTAATAATAATAAAAATTAATAAAGTATTGAAGTTTAGTTCGTTGTAAACCCTTTTGAATACCACTCGAAGTTTCAGGATTACCTAATATTTTTACCTGACACTCAACGGGTTACCAGCAACACCACTCCTCCTTCGGAGTCGTGGTGTTACTGCGTAACGCGTTTCGTGACAGGAGGTAAAAGTATTATCCGGTAATCCTGAAACCTCTTGTGATATTACATTCGATAATCTAAACTGTATAGTTTTTAGCTGTCATACCTATGCGTAGGTACCAGGTAAAAAGCACACAGCATTTTTCCATTGATTTTTCCTAACTTTGACAAGCCGCCATTTCGACAGGGTAAATACTTACTTACTTAAAGCTTCTGGGATATAATTTTAATGAAAATAGCTATCAAATGACGTATCACTCGACCCCCCTTTCCATTTGAAATTTTGGAGGTACCAGTCACCCCCACTTAGGGGTTGACAGGTTGGGGGTGAAGATACCAATAAAATGTGTTCCCCAAAAACCAAAAATTGACGTGTTCATATTTAGACCCAACAAGATTTTTTTTGTGTGTTAGACTGGCCCTAAGACGGATATCAAACAAACAACGTTTAGCAGCTACACTGTTGCCAATTCGCACCGTTGGCGTACAAGGCGACCGAAGAACTTACTCTTACGCAGTGGGCGTGTCCAGTGAACACGATCCCGATTGGTCGGACATCGCTTTCTTGGCCAGACTTATGCCGCGCGTTTGTCGAAACGTTAACCGTGTATGTTATATATTCGGGGGTGTGGTCAAAGAGACCTTACCGGACGTCACGCCCACTTATTTGACCAGCAACGTGCTGGCAACGTTGAGACAGTGTGACGATGTAGCTATGACGGTAAGAATTGTTTTTTCTATTGTAATAATAAGTTTATGGTAATTTTTTGTGAAGGTATTGCAAAATTCTGGCCATATGGCCTCAGTGAGTCAGATGGCTGTGATTTTGATTCCGTTGCACTTTGATCGAGATCAGGCTCTTAGGATACCTTCATGTCAGCGCTCAGTTGTTATTCGGCCATTTTGTACACAAGATTTTATGACTGGTACCGCAGCTTTGCCTGGAAAAGACATACCAATAGAAGTAAGTACCTACTTAGGTCTAAATTTGGAAAAATACATGTAACATGTTTGATTTAGGTTGTACAAAAAATGGTTCAAGAAGTAGAAAAAGTGCCAGGTATCTCAAGAGTTCTCTATGATCTGACTTCGAAACCACCTGGAACAACTGAGTGGGAATGATTGTTGATTCTACAGAAAACTATTATTAATTTTTGCGTCATTTAATTCTAATAATAATTGGCTAAAAAAAGAGAGCTACCTCTCTAGGTTTTATTTCAATTTGCCCAGTGACTTCTGACACGCCTTAAGTTTACCCTGTTATTGGTTCAAAAGCAAAATAGATTTTTTTTTTATATATATGTTTCAATTATTATTGTTTTGTGCAGCAAGTCAATAGAGGACTACTTATAAATATGTATGGTAAAATCCAAAAACTCTAATATAATTTTGTTATTTATCGATTTATGGAAAAACGAATTAAATTTGTGCATTTTTTTGTTATATTTATTATGAAAATAATTTCTGATTAATGGAATCATGAAAAACTGATTCCGGTTCAAAAGCCACAGATGAAAAATTATCGCTCCTTTTAATTTTTTTTCATTTATCACACCTCACCTGGATTGATTGATATTAAAATTGGCAGACAACTGTCGATTGTTTTGTAGCATTTGAAAAGTGCAGTTTATGTTGAGTGTTGTAAAAGACATTTTACAGTTTAGATATTTTTGTTTATTGCCCGATTATTGCAATCAATTAATATAAGTGAAATAGTTTTTATTTTATTTATTGTAAGTTATTTTAGGGGAAAAATTATCAGTACATTTTAGTTGAACATCAAGCTTGCACAATTTGTATAATGTTTGTCATTTAATTTGTCACAGAAAATGTAATATTTTGAATGGCTAGAGTCGCTAGGGATATTCAGTGAAATTAATTAAAATATTGTACTACTAATTTTTCTCTTAGCATAGTATCAGTTGTGTCTCTTGAAATTCAAATGCTGATTTGGTAAAAAAAAAACTGTTATGTTATCTTTCTTTTTTTGTTTAATATAGCAAGAAATTATTTTGAAACTGTAGTTTCACTTTCTGGTATTTCTAGGCATTCATTTGCATGCAATATTTAGAGATTCTATAACAAAATTCTGAGTGCCATGAAGGTATTTCTCAGTGATTTACCAGTCTTGTAAGAAGACTTTGGGAGGCACCCAAATGTGCAAGACAAGCCTATTGCTTCAGGATAGATTGCTCAATTAAAGCTTGATAAAACGACATTTATAATTATATTAATATAACATAATCAACGTAATTTTAACCCGCAAAACAATAATACTTGGCGTCCTACTGTAGAGCGAATAGTGGAATCATCCCATCCTTCGCGGTTGCCGAAAAAGCGATAAGTTTATCTTTTGTGAATTATCGCTTTGTTTATGTAACTTTTCCTTTGTTACTAGAAACATAGACAAATCAGGTGATTACTTTCACAGTCGACCATGCTACTATACCTAGGAAGTATAGGTCTTTTGATCAAAACTTCTCTACGTTTTTCAAAAACACTATCCTTCGCTTCACCCCAAATAAACATTACATCCTTCTTGGTGAGAGACGTCACAGGTCGAGCAATTTGCGCAAAATTTTTGACGTATTTCCGAAAATAACTACATAAACCCACAAACTGACGTTCTTGATTAACGTTCTTGGGTACAGGGAACTTCTCCACAGCAACAATTTTGGAAAAACCAGGACGTTTCCCAGCAGCACTTATCTCGTGTCCTAACTAGTCAATTTGGTTTTGGAAGAAATTACATTTGGATAAACGCAAAGTAATACCCGCATTTCGGAGTGTTGTACGCCGTAGAACACCTTATCGAGCCCAATATATGGTTGATTGTTCTTTGAAAAATAGCAGGTACGTTGATCAACCCTAATGGCATCCTATGGTACTCGTACTGGCCATCTGGACTCACAAAAGCCGTTTTCTCTCTGGATTCCCTTTCCATTGGTATCTAACGATAGCCGCTTGCCATATCCAACATAGTAAAAAAATTACAGCCTTTCACAACTTCCAAATGATCATGGACTCGCAGAGCGTACAGTGGAATGATTCCATCATCCCTCCGCGGTTGCCCAAAAAGCAATGTGTTTTTCCTTTGTGAATCATCGCTTAGTTTATGTTACCAGAAATCAGGTGATTTGTTTTACATTAAATTATTAGATCAACAAAAACTACAAAACATTTATTTTCTATACATTTGAAATTAACATTGAATTCACTTTATTTATAAGGACTTATGCAAGTCATTGGCCTCAAGGACTGATCAGCTTCAGAATGATCATTTACTTCTAAAACAGCTGGAATTTGTCTCCTGCAAGAATTAGAAACATAAGATTTTAATACAATCTTTTCAACACCTTCTTACTTATTTGGATCTGAATTTTCATCATCTTCAATTTCAGCTTCATTTAAAAATATCACTTGACATCTATCGTTTTTGTTGAATTGGTTCAAGGTACCATTATACACCAACAAATCATCTATTAGTACCTATATTATATTTAAAAAAATATATTAATACAATTACAAAAATAATATGAATATTTACTCCAAAATCCTTAATCCCTCTGCTAGGAGTTTTAGAATAGTTCCAAAACTTAACATAAGCGATTGAAATAGGCACGTCCATCACTACATAAAGTCGGTTTAAATGTTTTGGTAGTTTTGGAGCCAGCCAAGAGTGGCAGCCACTGTCATTTTCATTTTCTTCGTCTATAAGTTTATCTGGAGTCCTAGTGTCGCCTTTTATTGACGTGAGGATGTTCACGCTTTCAGGATAGGCACAAATATCTTCAAGAAAGAAATAACTTATGATTTTTTAGAAATTTTGATTATGAACTCTCCTCTTAATAGAAATACAAGTAGAGATCTGAATATTTCTCCTGAAAAACCTTATTAGGTACTTACTTTGTTCCTCAAGAATAACCTTTTCTCCTCTGACATCATAGAGCTCTATGCCATTCAAACCACAATAATATTGGTCACCCCATGTAGAGTAAACTATTATTTCCATTACAAATCCAAAAATACCATTATTGCTGACAAGAAAATCTGTTGGAGAATGATGTTTTACATTTGGCTCAAAAAATCTGTAAATAGTTAAACTAGATATTTTCAATTATTGTTATTTCTTTAATAATTCTTACCTGATGTCTTGTACAAAATCGTAAAAAGTATTACCAGGTGCTCTGCGCAACAAAAAATAATCACTTTGCAATGCTAAATTAACAACTGGTTGATTGTCCAATAATACCTTCATTGTCTTCACTCCTGCATAGCTTAGTTCCAAGTTTTCATTGTAATTCCATATACGAATACCTTTAAGAATAATTCAAATAAAAAGAATTGTATTTTTCTTAACATCAACTTACCAGAAATATATTTAAAGTCATCAAATTTAATAGAAATAGTGACAGTGTCTTGTAAAGACACACACCACATATTTTTCGAATTTGTTGTAATATTATCACCTTTCATAAGGTTTTTAAGGCACTTACTCTCAATGTTGCTACTCAAATGCCTCTCCTCAATACTAACACAATTATCAGCTCCTTCAATAATTTCAATTCCAGTAAGGCCTATAGCCAAAGGATTGCCCCAATTCTCAACCAAAACCAAATCCATAGTTTTAGCTCCAACTAGAATCTGTTCCTGAGTTTCTTTGGCACCTGCAGACGGCCTTCCAGTAATAGGACGAACCTAAACAATAATAATTATTTGAAAAATTAAACATATAATTTGACCATATTATAAATTGACCTCAGATGTTGGTGGTCTAAGATCCTTGTTTGCTATTGCAGTTGCAGGTTGAGAGTTGAGGTTTGAAAATGATGAATCATTGAGGGAGATTTTTTCCAAAATTAATTCGTCGGTAGTGAATAGGATTGTGTCGCCGAATTGATGGATTTTTCCTTGGATTGCCCCACAGGCTTTTGCTATTTCTCCTTTGAAAATGACTTCGTTGTCCAATGACATTATTAAATTTTTGACGCCTCTATATGAATGAATGCGAGACTTATTGTAATTCTGAAATTAATTAACTAATGAATTATTAATACAATTAAAGAAATGTTTATATACCCATATTCTAATCATTCCTATAATAGTAATTTCAACAAATTCTATTGTTATTGAGTGTCTTTTTCCTTTATAAAAGGGTGCTAACCAAATATGTAAATCGTCTCTTGTTCGATTTACTCCGTCTAAAAGATTTGTAACTACTCTGGGGTCGTTTTGGCACTCTGGTAAAATGTTTACATCAGCAGGAATAGCACTGATTCGTTCTATTTTTGCTATTTCTCCAGTAGCTGTGAATATTTCAATGCCATTCAGGCCTACGTAATATTTATCACCCCATGTAGTTAAAATATCAATCGTCAGGGTTTTTCCTCTAGGTAATTCTGGTATAATGAAATATTCGTTTGGTTCAGCTACAATATTTTGGACTTGGGGGCAACTAATTCTTCGGTCGGTTAAATTGCTTTTGTATCTCGAGGTTTTTGTATTGTTAATTTTTTGGTCTTTGCTGGTTTTCTGGTACTGCAAACCTAGGGGTGGCTCTGGATCATTTTCAGACAGCAGTTCATCGATGATCATTTTTCTAAGCCTATCCTCTTCGGCTAAGCAACTTTTATAGTTCCAAATTCGCTTCTCTAAATCTGGTAGTCTGGAAAAAGAATTATTGAGTCATCGCCTACAACAATCTAATTGAGGAGTTTGATGCTGATTTTAGAATTTCATTGAAACAGAACTCATCTGAATTGTGAAAAAAATCTTTAACAGATGAAATTTACATAATTAATATTAATACGTACGATTCAAAAGAATTGCGCTCTCTACTTTCATTAATTCTAAAATCTTCTGAAGAACTTAAATCTCCAAAAACACTTTCAGTAGATTTGGATTTTAAAATTTTGCTCGAAGGAGTTGGTGAAATGTGTTTCTCAGCCGCTTTTCGCACGTTTCCATACTCATACATCATTGACTTTCTACGTTGTTGTACATCTAAAATGCCTCAAAATACTTGTAAAAGATGTTATTTCAAGACTCAAAACTTACCACTATCGGACGTTGGTTCCCCAATATCCCAATAACTAGCTAAAATTAATTACAACGCTTGCAAAATAAACTACTATTGTTTGCAAAGGGTACACATTTATTAATCGATATTCACAATTTTTTGTACAAAGATCTAAATCTTACCAGGCATCAATGAGCCACTCGAGTCGTATTTGTTACCAGTCATTCTTCCATGATTGGAATAAAGTCTTCCCATGTGAAACTGATTAAAATTGTTCAAGCTTGTCCAATAAACTTCCAAATCTTTATCTGTTTTATAAATAGCTGCCATGTCCAAGCTTTCATCGATTTTTGGCACCACGTATTCTGAAGTGGTCATTGTCAGGTGTTTAGGAGACTTTTCTTTGTAGAGATCCATTGTAATAGAAGATCTGCGTCCAAATTTGGCTGAACTTGTTGAACTAGGATAATTTAATTCAATATTGATAATTATGCAATGCACATTAGTTTTTGGATTTAGGTTACCTTTGTGGTTCGCCTATTTTACCTTCCAAATACGGAATTCGGCTGGGGATGTTCGAGCTGCTGAAATTTATTCCGAAAGGGGATTGTTCCTTGGTTTTTGTCGATTTTTTCATGGAATCTTCCAGGTAATCTCTTGAGATTGTACTGAAATGGTGAAATTATGCTTATAGGAAGTAGGACCAAAATGAATTATTAGGTGTGTTCCAGCAAGATGTTGGACAACGATTGAACATCTGACAAGAAACTGGAAAATTTAAACTTAACACTTTCTAACTAAAATTGGACTCTGTAATAAAAGAAAAAAAAACGAAAAATTTTCATATACATAAAGGAAAATATATTACACTAAAATATAATGAAACAACAAAAAATACAACTTCCTACGATATTTTATTTATAAACAAAATACACCTAATTAAATTATAATATGAAAATCATGCAATCTGTTTCAACCATAACCACTCAATACAAAAACAATCAATGTAACTTTATAGGAAGGTTGGGGTACAGACAAATTGCACAAAGTAAATAATAATAATTTTACAACAGCATCATATATCTCTGTACAAAATATCACAGATAAAAATTAATAAATTTATATGTACAATAAAAGGCTTTTTACCAAGGTCTCCACACATTATTTGTTTCATTAAATTCTCTTTTAATGTCACCTTGTATTGCTGGCATTCTGTATTGCGTTGTTGGAACACTCCAAATAATTTCTCCAGTTGGTAATCTGGTAGGGTACCAATTTGCACTATTATTATTATTACTATCACAAAAACTAACAGCAGGAGCAGCAGCCGGAACAGGAACTTCTTTTCTGAACGTCGTCATTTGTAGCTGGCCCAACTTGTAGTGCAGGCTCTGCAGGTATTGAACAGTCATTTCCAGAATGTCGGCCTTTTCCAGTTTGGTGGTGTGGATTCCTTCCTTTGTGGTCGACTGAGAATCCAGTAAAATGTTTTTTAGAGCTTCCAAACTGTGGTTGATTCTGGCACGACGTTTCTTTTCCATTAAAGGCTTCCGGATTCTTCTACTGTCCGACATAATTACGTTATTATTCGCCGACGTAATTTCACTTTTCATTTTTATTAACTGTGAAGGCTGCTCTTCAAACAAGAGATAAACGGAATGTGAAGTGGTTCGAGGGATGGTACTGGTTTTAAGGGACGGTGTCGTGCGACCGCTCCCTTCCACTCTTTTTGGCAACCTGTTGAATGGGGGCTGATTGAAATCGAAGGTACCTAGGGGGTGCGTGCCCGACAATGCCATAAAAAGTGTCGAAAAGTAACTCTATCGATTAGGTTTTTGGAATCAAATTTGCAATGTTAATGAATGCAATTTGTTTATTCAAGTCTGCAATATGATTTAATAACTTAGCAAGGTTGGTAAAAACCTAAGTTTTTGAAAATTTCTATTGGGTTTTTGGGTTTTTGCGGGTTATTGTGATAGAGCCCGAAGGACCGGAGTTATTTTTATCACGAGCCTTATTGGTTAGCTGATAATTTGGAGCCAATGAAAAACTGTTGTTGTCTTTGTCCTAGTCACTGTAATCAACAACTGTGAGCGAAAGATTTATCAAACTAAGTAGGCCTTGAAAACGTATATGTATTGCGATATCGGTATTACAGAGTATCAAATTTTTCAAAGCCTATTTTGTCAGTTATCGAACAGTGCTGTCAACTTCAACTTACAACAAACATTGTTTTAATTACTGATGAGGCTTAAAGATTTAGAAAAAAACATAGCCCAAGTAGGCCTTGTAAATTTTAATTTTTCCATAGCGACCATTCTTTAAACATCGACAAAATGTCAAACATCAAATTATTGACAAGCAACAAAATAAATAACGTAGTAGGCCTTGAAAGCAACACTGATTTTAATCGATGTTGGTAATATAGATAACAACATAAGGAATATTGGAAATCAACCTACAATAACTGAATTCATTGAAAATACAGTCTCATACATTTCAAAGTTTTCCTGGAAAAATAGTGAAGGGAAAATTTTGAAACTTTTTGCATGTGAAGAGGAAGGTGAGAAGTTCATTTTCCCAAAATTTCAATTTTTTCTAGCGAAAAACAGCAACACGGAAAATCTTGGAAATCAACCTACAAAAACTGAATTAGTTGACAATACAGTCTCACACATTTCAAAGTTTTCCTGGAAAAGTAGTGAAGGGAAAACTTTGAAACTTTTTGCATGTAAAGAGGAAGGTCAGAAGATCATTTTCCCAATATTTCAAATTTTTTCAATGGAAAATAGCAACATGAAAAATCTTGGAAATCAACCTACAAAAACTGAATTAGTTGACAATACAATCTCACACATTTCAAAGTTTTCCTGGAAAACTAATGAAGGGAAAATTTTGAAACTTTTTGCAAGGTGAGAAGATTATTTTCCCAAAATTTGACATGAAAGAACATCTACAAGAGTGATCCAGGCAAACCACTAGCCTTGGAACCACCAAAACCCGGAGAATCGCCAACGCAAGTAGAAGCAAACTTCAGACATTGTTCTAGTGTTTGAAATCAACCATCATTTCCCAGAGCCAAAAATAGGATTTTCTTTTTATTTTTGTGTCTGCTTAAAATGGCCATTTGGAATTGATTTCAGAAGTGTTTTCCACTAATTTTGACCCGCTCTATCGATTCATAAAGTCAAAATTGTACAAAACTAAAAAATAAAAAAATCGAATTTTTCATAAGGGTACCTTTGAATTCTGATTTCAAAATATTCAAACCTCAATTGCTCGGTAACCATTGAGCAAATTGCATTAAAATTTCCAGAATTTGTAGCTTTTATCAAGTTCTAAATAGCTTGTAATTTACAATATTTCCAGATTTCTAGTTTTAGAGCAAATTGAGTTTAAAGATTTTGACAAAATTTGGACTAAAAGTCAACTTTGAGGCTCAATTGCTCAAAAACTATACCAGCTATCGAGCTCAATTTAGCCCAGATTTATAGAGAATTTAAGGCTCTTTCCAATGATGTATAATTTATTTTAAGTTGCTTGGAATTTACCAAAGATATGGGCAATTGTTCATGACCATGTCAGGATTTTGAAAATTTTCCAGAGCCAAAAATAGGATTTTCTTTTTTTTTTTTGTGTCTGCTTAAAATGGCTATTTGGAATTGATTTCAGGGGTGTTTTCCACTAATTTTGACCCGCTCTATCGATTCATAAAGTCAAAATTGTACAAAACTAAAAAATAAAAAAATCGAATTTTTCATAAGGGTATCTACCGCCTTTGAATTCTGATTTCAAAATATTCAAACCTCAATTGCTCGGTAACCATTGAGCAAATTGCATTAAAATTTCCAGAATTTGTAGCTTTTATCAAGTTCTAAATGGCCTGTAATTTACAATATTTCCAGATTTCTAGTTTTTGAGCAAATTGAGTTTGAAGTTTTTGACAAAATTTGGACTAAAAGTCAACTTTGAAGCTCAATTGCTCAAAAACTATCCGAGCTATCGAGCTCAATTTTGTCCAGATTTATAGAGAATTTAATGGTGCGATTCTGTAAGCGATGTAACGTACTGTAAGGGATGTAACTTTGAGAGTTGTTAGGATGTAACGAAAAAGGAATTCTGTAACTTACATCGCGCTGTAAAATATTCTTACACCCGCTGTATATTTACGTCACGGGAAATAGAGACACACTGTTATATTTTTGACGGTATGAAACATAAAGGTTTTTTTTTGTTGCACAAAATCACAAAAAGAAACGTTTAGAGTGAGATATGGCTCATATGAATAAAACAGAAGCAAATGCTTTTACTTAAATTTTTGAGATAAACATATTCAGCTTTACTGCAGCAAAAAGTGATGGAGGTAAAGTAAAATCATTTGCTACACTTTATTCATATGGCTGATTAGTTAATTATGGAATTATTACAGATTAGGCCTTTCATCATCATCATCATAGGCAATCACTCGAGTATGATTATTTTCTATTCTATTCTTCGTCGATTGTGCGTTTCTTGATGGCTATATAATCGAATTCTGGAGCCTTACACTCTTCCATAGTCTTGGAACACCCAAGGCCTTTACAAAAACGTTGATCCGATTACGATGGATTAACGCGATCCATTATTCCAAAATATTTGAACTTCAAAAATTGTCAAATTACAAAAATATGGTTACGTTTATTACTACGATGTTAGGAGCTCTATAAATAAAGCGCTGTAACTTTGTACTTTACACCAGGCGTTACAGAATACGAGTTTTGACGTTCAATGTAAGCTTCAATTTTACATCTCGATATAAACTTACGCGCTTTAAAATTTACAGTGATGTAAGGCGATTTACAGAATAGGCACATAAGGCTCTTTCCAATGATGTATAATTTATTTTAAGTTGCTTGGAATTTACCAAAGATATGGACAATTATTAATGACCATGTCAAGATTTGGAAAATTTTCCAGAGCCAAAAATAGGAATTTCTTTTTATTTTCGTGTCTGCTTGCAATGGGCATTTGGAATTGATGTCAGGGTGGTTTTCCAATAATTTTGACCCGTTTTTTCGATTAATCTACCATTACGAAATGTATGAAAACAGTCACAAATTAATATTCTATACGTTCATGCAATAATCTTAATTTTGAATTATAGTGCCTTTTTGCCCGTTCTGATTTTGTATTACATTGGGATTTTGAATTAACATAATAAAATCTTCATTCTGTGAAAATTTCAGCTTGTAACTCCGACGCACCCACAAAAGTCAAAATACCTATATTAAAAGGAGCACTCTACTAACACCTTCTGATAGCTTTTTTGAACATTTTTTGAGAGAAATTAAAAGTTATCTGTTGACAATTTTGGATTTTTCTTGATACAGACCAAATTTGACTGATTTTTGACGCGATCTGAATTTCATGGGATATTTAAAAACTCAAAAAAAATGAAAGGGAACCAATTCGATCACGTTCCTTATTTTATTAACAGAAAAAGAGAGAAATAAATTTTCTAAGAAATTTTCATAATCCAATCAGATTCTTATGATTTTGATGTAATGTATTGGTTCTTCTTTAAACGTACTTACCTCATCATCATTTGAGCTTCTGACCGGTAAATTTTCACTGATTTCTGATGAGATACGTTCCAAGGAAAAATGAGAATTTATTCGTTTCAAAAAAA